GTGCGGCTGGCGGCCGCCGCGCCGCGCGCCCCGCCCGCCGCCGCGCATCACCATCTACACATTGCGGGCTGGTAGGTCTGCTCATTATCATTTCAGCTACTTGACATCCACAACTGCACAAAGGTGGAGACTTTTGTTGTAGACAGATTAATTTGATTTTACCGAGTACAAGGCTCCCCTTGTACTCGGTAAAATCAAATTGATGTTGATGTCATGTTATTTATTTAAAGTTATTTTATAAATTGTCGCCGTCATCGCTTTCGATATCCTGTCATTTTCTGTAACATTTATTATAAAACATACACACTGATTGTTTATCGATTTTTGTGTTCATCACTACACTATTATATGTGGTATCATTATTTCACAAATTGACAGTAGCTATTGTCAAATCAGGAATATAATTAAAATTCTGATTTTAAGTTTAAAAGTTGAAGTACATTGTACGCAATTAGTTATAATATAAATAAACAATTTTTTGGTTTTTACAGAAAAACGCAATTTTATTTTTATTTCATTTAATGCGCAATATTATTATAAAACAACATTTTAAGCCTTTATTCCAGGTATTAGGTTTTATTCCTTTTATGGGAAAAATTAACTCTATAAACTAAAATACAAAATATAACCATAAGACGTTCATTCTTCTAAAAAACACACACGTCACAATGGCAGTGACATCTCTTTATATTATGGTTTTAAAGCGGCCAATTCAAAAATGAGATTTAAGCACAGAGTAATTATTAATTAAGAAAATATAATATAGTGATTTTCTTTACAAATATTAAAAGTATTATTGACAATATTTCAAGCAATCCATTGTTTCCTTATTTTTAATTCTAATTTATTTATTTCATTTCATAAAGAGTAACGAATGGAGTTTCTTGATCGTTCTTCTCCATTCGAATCTATTTTTTTGGAACGAACACCTAGTTTCACCTAGCTTCACTGACGGACTGACTGACAGACTATTATTTATTTGTATTTGTTGACGTTTCAAAAGTACCACATTATGGTTTAATTGAAATAAATGCTTTAACTTTGACTTTTGACTTCATGTTTTCTTATAAATATTCTCTCCATCCACAGCCCAATGGTGATAGGTATGCTATGGGAGGTAACTGACCTGGAGGTGGACAAAGTGATCAGCACGTTGGTATCTCTGTACGTGCCGTCTGACGCGCCAGTACCATGGCAACATGTCGGGAAGGCCAAGTGGAGCAATCGAGTACTAGGTTAGTCACAGAACTTGCGCTAATGATGGTAGGATTTGCGCAATGTAATTTGTATTTTGCGCAATATCTTTTGTGGTTTGCGCAACGCATTTTACAATTTGCGCATCTTTTTTTTATTGTTTTACTGGTTTTTTTTAAAGATGCTCTATGATTTGATTTGATTCCACAATTTTCACTTGATATCGTAATTAAACTGTCAAACACCAAGCGGTCACCGGTGACCGCAACCTATTGTTCTATAATTGTGTCTATAATGACGGTACTCGACGAGTTGTGTATTATATTATAACTTTCCCGAGACATACTAAATAAATTATTATGTTTTCGTCTTACTCACGTAATTATTTGACGAGGAACTCGACTAGTTTCAAGCTATGCTAGAGGCACATATTCATAAGCAGTATTTAGCGACCCGCGTGGCGGATTCTGTCGCGCTGCTACTGCCTTGCTAGGCTTGAAACTAGTCGAGTTCCTCGTCAAATAATTACGTGAGTAAGCCAAAAATATAATAAAGTAAAAAAGATGGTTAAAGTAATCTTTTTTCAGATCCTAGATCCTAATTGAACTAAAGATGTTACCTTTCTTCATTATATTATGTATTTTATATTTTTCATTTATGATATTCACTTGCATCTGGCTAACTAGTATATACATACATACCTAGAAATCGACCCCTGCTAACCCCTTCGGGGGTAACAGGCGTGGTGAAAATGATGATATTTACCATGAAACTAATAAGATAATTTATAATTGCAGACACATCAGTGGAGAATGCTGGGCAAGTCCCATCGGAGCGTGATCTACTCCGCGCTGTATGTCGGGCGCGAGGTTCTAGTTCCTACGTCATGATTGCATGTAGTGTCGTCGCTAGGGGACTACCATTGCGACTGAGCGATTGATTGGTATGTCCATATTATTTATGTTAGTTTATTTAGGTCCCGTGGACAGCTTACCGTACAAATGTTTCTATTCTGAAAGAGCTAAAAATAGACAAAGACAGCGCTTGTCCACAATTTGCTTACGAAGGATCGTGCGATACTTTGGCCAGTAATACACCAAGCAACGCAAAGAGATAAGTGGCGACATCTAGTGAGCAAAGTCAGAGGTAGTCACGTTCCACAGCAGTGCGAGGAATAGACTAGGAAGGAGAAGAATTTAGGTATATTGGAAGCTGTTAGTTTTGTTGCTAAATTTCGATTGTGGACACCTAAAGGAGTATTTTCGAGAAACAATTGGGTACTTTCCTTATTCAAAAATAAATTATTTCGACTGTTCAATACAATAAAATGTTAAAAAATTATCACACTATCATAATTGCTTTAATGACCAACTTAATTGGAATGATGACATGGTATGAAAATTAAAAATATAATTAGTCCGTAAGTAGAATTTTTTATTTTGTCGTATAATAAAACAACACTTAGATAAAACGAAACAAAGTCTAGGAGTGGGAGCTAAAACGTCATTTCTATGTATAAAATGTATATAGAAGTGACGTCACGCGACATTTCAAATCAATATATCGTTAAAAGTATTCGTTTCTATAAGAAAGTACAAAATACGTGTCTAATGATTTAATATAATCTACCAGACGGACATTAAAATACAAATTAGGCATCTACCCTATTTAAAAAAAAACCAACTTAATCTTAATTCTAAAAAAACGTGACGTCACAATACATAGTCTTGCTCAAAATACATAGAAAACTGTAATTTTGACAGTTCGAAAAAAGGATTGAATTTGACTAGTTGGCAAGTATCCAAATAAATAGGAGTTGGGTTTCTAAATGGTAACTTAAAATATGTTAATTTCATTGTTTCAGATTACACAGAAATGGACTGATTTATAAAAAATATAATTGTACATAATACCTGTTATGCAATTAGATATTATTTAATTTGTAAAATATATAAAGTATAATAGTTACATTTGTATGTGTTTTAATTTGTTATTTTTATACTTGCTACTCCCTACCCTTTTATAATCTTTTTATGGAAATTAAACGAACAACTTACACGTCCTTAAGCTTTATTACAGATTATTCTTTTATTCTAAAACTATTGTGAACATCGCCAGTGGATGCAGGTGGTCAGTTGTCGTTCGAATTGAAGGACTAAGGGGGAGGCCTTTGCCCAGCTGTGGACGGCTTCCAGCTGTTGATGATGATAATTGTGAGCACAAGTTGATACACCTGTAGTGCGTAATTCAGTAATAGTATTTAAGCCTGTGCAGCGACTGAGTCTCTAGGCCGGGCGGGCGGGGCGGCGCGGCCACGACGACGTCGAGTCGATGGTGGAGTACGCTCCTTCGATTCCGTCTGACGCTGGATCAACTGGTAAAGATTAATAGATTAAATTTAGTAGACTGTTAAAAAGGTAAACGTTTAAATTGTGTAACAAGTAGATAGAGCCCCTTTGTAAAAGAAGACTATTTTTAGTTAGCTTCGTAAAAGAATTAACAATGAAATGCTCTTTTCGTAGTTAGATGTGATTAGAATTTCAATTGCTAGTAGATAAGTAGTACCTGACGAACGTCATAATCGTATATCAAGGTGTTGCAAACGTCTGACCGTCGATAGGCAATTACTCTCAACTAGATCTTCAGGGGTAGTTAAAAATCCTAATCTCATTGAGTTGGAGTGTATTCATAACCACGCCCTCTTTTCGTAACTATTAAAAAAACAACCATATTCACTACGAAATAAAGTTAACTTTCTAACTCACCTCATCAATCCTGATGATGTCGATGATCTCCAGTACTTTTTTCTCCAAGCTCTTGATATAGAGGCGAGCGTTCGTGACGTTGATGTCAAACGCTTTGCCCAGCAGCTTAAGAAGTGGTAGAGAGTCGCATTCAGAAGTCCTGTAAAAAGTTTTCAGAGTAAACTGAGGGCTACTGTTATTGTAGTCACTAGATGGCACGAGTGTGCTCTGATATTGTTTAACCAATATAGAATTTCTTGTTGTTGTTTATTAGTAAGAAAGAAAAACAATTTATTACGCCACGACACACGTAAACAAGAAAACAAGTACACACAAATATCCCATGGTGCGTCGCAGCGCAAGAGACTGGAGCTCAGCTTAATATCGTGGCCCAGGCACGAAGGTTCGAGTCTACGTCGCTGATTTTCAGAGCCGGCCCGTAGTAGTACCTACGTAAATATATACCTATGGTGACGCTGTTCGGAGCACAGCATGATATAAATAATAAGAATAATATAAAAATGAAAAAAATACCCAAATGAATATTGTATTATTGATTTATCGTTGTTGCACTGACTAGATGGCACTAATGTAAATCTTGCTTCTCCAATAGAGACTTAGAGAGAGACCTATATGGGTAGCATTCATCTGTATCATCCGATGCATAAAATGACACCTATTTTCCCCTCCGGGAGTATTAATATTTCTTGTATGACGGTAATTGTAAGTTATCCTACACCACTACACCAGACATTTGGTCTGACTTTGGATTTCTTCTACATAAGAGGGGTTTGACACAATCTCCACGCTTGACAGAAGTATTGGAGATAACTGAGTGTTGCTACTTAGGCTATGTGCAATTTTGAATTGTTAACGATAAGGTGTTGTAATACTAACAGCGCTAAAGCATGTATTTGCTGCAACAAAGTGGTGAGAACTTGCGAGCTTCTCTCACAGATGGCGCGCGCGTCGGCAGTAGCTTGTCGCTTCTCTTCCAGAGTACTGCGCAGTGACTCGATGCTGTCCTGCTGCTGGAAGAGTTTAGCCTGGTGCTTGGCCGTTTCTTCCTCTGTTTTGATAAAAAGAGATTTAGAAAAAATGGTTTAAGTAGGACCTACACCGAAACGTAAAGTAATTTATAGGGGCTGTTATTTTCTAGTTGCTTTATTATTTCTACACTACATTCACATCAACGGCTTCATGAGATATGATTCTGTTACAAGATACCTAACTGATAATATCTATCTCCGATAAAAAATATAGTAGGATAACTTTGTGGCGGGGTGAAGCCTACAAGCTTTTTGGGGATAAAACCCTCCCTAAGTGTGGGGTTTTACCTCACTAAAACCACCCCGGTGGCCACCCTCAACACCTATATGAATGCACCGGGTCCTCTAAAATAGACCTGCTCCGGAGCCTCCACGGTGCAACGCCTGTTACGACACATCCCTAGAGGGACCGGTGATACCAATCCTACTATATTTTTACCTTTAATTTCTTATTGGAAAATGGCTTTTTAGCAAAGATCTTTACTATTTTACCAATATTAGCTCTCAACATCTTGACGTTGTCACTGAGGTTCTTCAGTTCGGTGCAGACTTCGTTGATGTAGTTGAACAGAGCGTAGTTCTCCTCCTCGCGACGTGTGAACTCCTGGATTAGTTTGTCCACGTCATCTTCACCGGCAAACTCCTGAAATTGTGTACATTGTATATATTTATCAGTGTTTCTTTTTATTGAAATGTTTATGTTTTTTTATAATTTATGTCGTGGCTCGTTAATGGGTTGGTCCTAAGCGCAACTGCTGCCTAATATATCTCGAGGTTTGATTTCTAAGTCGATAGGATTTTTGGCTTATGTATGTACAGAAAAATTTCATTAGGAGTATGGTGTTTAGAACCGGAACTATTTAGAACTATTTTATAAATTACTATTGTACCATAATGTGCGTTGTTTTTATAATAACTATCGTGAGACATACTAAATTAAGCTTAATTTAGCAGCACGCTGCTCATGAGGAAGAACCCCTCTGTGGTTCGAAACTAGTAGAGCTTTTCTCAGTATATTCACGTGAGTAACCCGCGTTTTTACTTAACTCGTCGAGTACCGGTTTTGTAGACACAATTATAGAACAATAGGTTGCGGTCACCGGTGACCGCTTGGTGTTTGACAGTTTAATAATGTGCGTTATACAATATCACCTAAAGCCGATATTCATTTGACTAGTTGTCAACATGTCTGCGTCGATGCAGTTTCCCTTACCTTCAAAGCATCCAGTATATTAACATAGTTATTGTAGATTCTCATCTCCTCCTCCTGCTGCTCCAGTTTCTTGGCTTCAGCCTTGGCATCAGCCGCCGTCAACCGAACCGTGCCCTTTGTACGGAGGAACTCCTCCAGCTTCATGCTGTGGTCTAACTGACGTTGGAGTTCACGAACTTCCTATTGGGTAGAAACGGTATCGTTTTAGATTTTAAACGACTTTTAGAAAAGGAATATTCAGTTGGACCTGTATGTATGCATGTTTCTGCGCCATTATCTCGTGATAGGCTGAATCGATTTTGACGAGGTTTTCAGAAAAGTGTTTGTTACACGTAAGAGAAGGTTTTAGTATATTAATTAACCGACTTCAATAAAAGAGGGGGTTTAAATCAGTCTTTTTTAAACTTAGTTCATAAAAGAATTATAGTGTTTGAACTTGTAAACTAAAGTGATCTGTATACATACATAACTTCACGCCTGTCTCCCATGGGAGTAGGCAGAGACTAAGGCACGCCAATTACTATGATTCTTACATACCTCTTCCACTTCAATAACAGTCATCAATCTTTTCATGCATGCTCGTCGGTTAAGGGTACTTTTAATTTGGCCCTCCTTTAATATATCGCCAATCTGGTCACTATATTTCCGTCTAGGGCGCCCTCTACCGACGGCCCCATTCATATCCGCTCTGTATACTTCTTTCGTTACTCTACTTTCATCCATCCTTTCTACATGTCCAAACCAGCGTAACATTCCATTTCAATTCTTGTCACTACATCATCTTTCAATCTACACTTTTCTCTAACAACACTATTTTCACTGGATGAGTCAATTTTAGTCCACACATACTTCTCAGGGCTCTCATATCCACCGCATTAATCCTGCTTTCATGCTCCTTCTGCCACACCCATGATTCACTACCATACATAAGCGTTGGTGTCAATACACACTGCAGCATTTTGTTAAGTAATGGTTTAGTTGATTTTCATCGTGTGGAAACTTGTGCAAAGCAGGACACCTAGGTTTCGTGTTCAATTGCCTGATCAGGGTAGTGTTGTTAAGCCTAGTTTTGCGTCTTATTACATTGGGCCTTATAACATCACTGGCGCAGTGTTTGGTCTATTCTAGAAAAACTGGTGTTTAATCTTCAATTCCTTCTACTAAACAAGTTTATCACAATGTCAGCTGTGGCAGTTAGGTGGTCGAAAGGTTATTTGTTTTATTTATTTATTTGGACTTCCAGTTGTTGCTACATTTTTATCATTAACTTAAAATTAGGAATTAACATCTTACTGCTAATGCACAACATTTGAAGGACATCACAGCATACGTTGAGTTGAGATTTTGAGTACACTATATCAATTAAATTAAATTTACCTAATTTGTCTACATTACCGCAAAAAATAAGAATTATATAATTGGTAAAAACTTTTGTTATGACTCATTATACAATAGTCAACCCGGAATACAAAAATATAAATACAAAATACAAAACAAAAGAATAATCAAAGATCTAAATAAAGGACACATTCATTAAAAGCTCAATGATAAAAGAAGAATAGAAAATAATATTTCCATTTGTACTGTTCTTGTACTATCCATAATCTGGTACCATCTTTATATTCTGGGTCGTCACTCAAAAATATGAACCATGTCTCTATAACAAATATATATAACAAAGTTACTTACTAAGCAGTGTTTCCTATAGTCCGTAGCTGCCTTCTCCTTGAGGGCGTCCAGCTTGGAGCACCACTCCTCGCGCTGGTCGTACGTGGAGATTGCTTGCTCCAGCAGTTCTATGATCATCGCCTTGCCATCCATCAGACGCTTAAGCTGATTCTTCCAATGGGTGTTGAAGAATTGCCTGGAGTCAAGTACTTTTTAAGCTTGTCTTTCAGTTCTACTAAATCCCTTGCATTGCAAAATCTGGGCATTTATTCCTATTTACTTAAGAGTTTATAAACGAGGTCAAAAGTTATTTCATTGAATTTGTTTTCGTTCCAATCATGAAGTTGGCGGAGTATGAAAATGTTATGGGTCAAACAAATATAAATTACAGCGCAAATTCTTAATTTGATCAATGCGATCAGTGCATTATTTACATTCATCAGGAATTATTAAATGACTGCCTCGTTGGCCAAGTGGTCACCAGCGCGACTGCCGGGCAAGGGGTCTCTAGTTCGATTCCCAAGTCGGGCAAACTATTACTAGGTTATTACACGAGGGTTATGATATTATTAAATAGAAGAACTACTTCTCTTTCTTACCGATCTCTTAGCAACCTATCAATTTCCAGTCTCATGGAGTAATTCTCGCTGTTCACCGTATTGAATTTCTTCATAGCAGTGTCCAGGCGGTTCTCGAGCTGACTGATCAGGGTCTGACCAGTCAGGACGTTGGAGTACGCCTGGCACAGAGAGAGAATCAGAAAATGAATGATTGATATTAATAATAATAAAACCAATAAAGGAATTGGATCATAATATTTGTCGATTAGAAATATTTTCTATTTTATAAAGGTATACAGTTTTAGGAGACGAGCATGCACGAAAAAATTGATGACTGTTGATGAAGCGAAAGAGGTATGTAGGAATCGTAGTAATTGGCGTTCCATAGTCTCTGCCTGCCCCCATGGGAGACAGGCTTGAAGTTATGTATGTATGTATACAGTTTTTGGAGCTGCCGTAAGCAGTTAAATCCGCATTTAGTCAGTATTAATCAATAATTTAATGCACTTGGGAGCAAACAAGCGAAGCCACAATCATTTTTTTTATTTTTCGTTTATTGATAAATATTTTCTAATACAATTATTTTATTAATTGGTTAGCTACGTATCAACGTATGTCGTATAAAAGGCACCCTTAAAATGAGAGCATTTTCTTTGTAAAAGAAAATTTCTTTTAAGTTATAGAGGATTCGATAAATAAAAGAAAAGACGCTAGTTGCTTAGATTCTTTGTTTCCAAGTGTACGTAGTCGATCCTTCTCTATGTGAGAAGAGACCTTTGCTATCAAGTGGTATAGATACAGGCGTGTTGGTTCAATTAACTCGTCGAGTACCGGTTTTGTAGACACAATTATAGAACAATAGGTTGCGGTCACCGGTGACCGCTTGGTGTTTGACAGTTTAAGAAGCAAGTTTATTTATTCTTACGATTTCTGTCCCCATAACTTTGGACCTCAGCGATTTGATTTCCTTCTGCACTTGCTTCAATAAGAAGTTCAGTTCTTTGATAGTTTCCCGATGATCTTTCACTTCACTCGAATATTTTTCGTGGTCTTTCAGAAGAGCAATCAACTTCTCCCGGCTTTTTGCGCCTTCCATGAGGTTGGAAGTGCTTTTGGTGAACTGTGGAAGTGAGTAATTGAACTTATTGAGTATTCCATTTATTGTGACTATTGCAGTCAAATAAGAAAATTCTACTTCTTAAATATTTATGGAATAGGGTAGATGACTAATTTTTATTAATGTCAGTCTGGTAGATTATTTTAAATCATTAGACACGTATTTTTTTATTTTCTTACAGAAACGAACACTTTCGACGATATATTGATTCGAAATGTCGCGTGACGTCACTTCTATGTACATTTTATACGTAGAAATGACGTTTTAGCCCCCACACTTTAGTTTTGATTGGTTTTATCTAAATATCATTTTATTATACGATAAAAAATTAAAAAATATGTATATAAAAAAAATTGATTTTTAATTTTCATACCCTGTCATCATCCCAATTAATATCAAATTATTTAGTCTTCGTTTCAAACGATAACACAAAGAAACAACGCTTGATTTGACACGCCGTATAAGTGAAGTAGTATCTGTAATCATAGGTGAGGCCTTAGGTAACCTAGGAATATCTAGTCTTCCTTAGGGTTAGGGATTCCTAATCCCTAAAAGTGATTAGAGATAACAGATGTGTAAGATATTTAGTGTTGCGGATGTTCATAGGCGGTGCCAATTGCTTACCATCAGCTGATCCATCTATTCGTTGGTCTTCCTATTCTATAAAAAAAGAAAACATTGTGCGTTAGAAGTCTACAAGCACCTTGAGTTCCAGCATGATCTTTTCGAGGTCAGCATTCAAGGTGTTGATTATGTTCTTCTGCATCCTTAGGGTGGGCTGCACGCTGCTCAGCACTGTAGCCCGGTCTATCTCCATCACCCTGAACTGTTGCAAAACATAAAGTGTTTAACATGATATCATATTTTTGACTGCACGGTTGGCGCGATGGCTAGCTGCTACGCAACGTATCGCGGGTTCGATTCCCGCACGGGACAACTATTTGTGAGATCCACAGATGGTTGTTCCGGGTCTGGGTGTCATGTGTATGTGAAATTGTATGTTTGTAAACGCACCCACGACACAGGAGAAAATCCTAGTGTGGGGCATCGTTTAAAAAAATATTTCTTTTAGCAATTTACAATTAAAATTGTATCAAATACTTTTCTACATTTCTGTAAGTGTCCCTAGTCTACGTTTCTACAAATCTACAAGTCTACAAAGCTGCATTTCTACAACTCTTATAGAGTGCTGCAAGGACTGCAAGATTAGAGATGAAGTTTATTTGTTTTTATGAACGTGCAACTTCGGAACTTCTGCTTAAAATTGAATAATTCATTTTGTCATGGATAGTTCATTTATCGAAAAAGGAAAACATTATATATCAGACCGCAACCAACAGATATCGTGGAGCGAGTGAAAGCGCGTGAGGGAATAGCTACCATTAATTAAAATTAAAAATATTCATAATCACTATATAGTATAAAACAAAGTCGCTATCCGCCGTCTGTCCATCCCTATGTACTTACGCTCAGATCTTTAAAACTACGCAACAGATTTTGATGAGGTTTTTTAAAAAAGATAGAGTGAATCTTAGAGGCAGTTTTATACGTATAATACATACATATTGCACCCGTGCGAAGCCGGGGTGGGTCGCTAGTAATATATATTTACCTGTCTCTGCAACTTGGACAGTTCATCCTCTGCGATCTTCTCCATCTCCATATCATCAGTAGGAGCTATTAACGCGGCCATTTTGTTTTTTACACTAAAAGTCTTCGCTCTCTCCAAATTCTTGTGTAGTTGTTTTCAGACTGCTTTTTCAGCTGTTTCAGTTTACAGTTGGGTCGATATTGTAGCTCGGTTACGGGACAAGCTTGTCAAGATTACTTACATATGTATGACGATTTTAGGGTACGTAAGGGTAAAAACGTGACCCTGGTACCGTACAACCTCGCAGGTTACCGGGGCTCCGGTTCAAAGCAGGAGTAGGAACAGGCCGCTCTGTTCCTACTTACTAATACGTACTTTTAATCAGTAAGAAGGAAGAAGTTAGTGGCATTCCCCTCTCAAAAAATAAATGGCCAAAATATAATAAAACTAAGACTCCGCTGTTTGTCTGTCTACCATCAGGTTGGTAACTTATGAACCGTGGTAGTTATAGATAGTATAATATAGGTACAATATATATAATTTCCATATGCTTTTTCTTATTTTAAACTTATGTTTTCTCTGAACTGTTTGTGTGCTAATCCAACTCGGACTTGACCAGTTTTTTAAGTTAGAATAAGCATTTTTAATGGCTTACTAATAAATGAGACGTACAGCACGGTTAGTGCAATGGCTATACCACTGCTGTGCAACATATTATAAGTTCGATTTACTACATGGAATAATTGTTTTAAGTAGGTAATCCACTGATTGTTTTTCCGGAAGAATATCTTACAGTCCTTTCGTCTTCTACTTAATTATGGACTTTAAAAGAGACAGACCTCTGAGTTTGTTTCGGCATTTCTTCTCAGAGTAGTCAGTTAGGACATGTCGGCCTCATCGTTCGCTTGATAAAATTGACGTGTAAAAGTGCTGCCTTGTAGCCTATTTGCAGAAATAAATTCACTTGTTTCATTATGATGTAAGAATAATTACAAAAAAGTAAACTAATTTTCGCAACCTCTTTATTGACCAAGGCAAACAAACATACATAATTTTTACGACAATATGAATATATTCTGTACACTAAACTACACTACAAGTAATTTGACCATTGGATGGAGGCTAGTTTTTAAGAGTCACTCGAGATTTAAATCAAGGTTCACTTAATAAAAAACTCGTTTCATTTCAGATGCGAATATTAAAGGATCAGTATGAGATCATTTCCTGACGTTTACAAGAATAAAATTAAAGTACCACCTTTTTTTTAAAATCGGTTAATAAATTGTTTCAACGTTTTGTTTGACCACTCTCTTCGTATCACCTTGATAGTGTTGCTGTCCTTGTTTTGCTCGTGTCGTGTAACGCTACGTTCGTGTTGCCGTCTCGCTCTGACGCACGTGTTGATACACCAAAGATTAAGATTGCAGATAAGTTCAGTGATGATTTAGTATTTTTAGACTATGTTACTAAATCTTCTATTATATTAAAAAGAAAACTGGTAATAATGTTACGTAACGTAACACGTATTTATTCGTTAACTAGAAAGAAAGGACGAAGTATACAGAGTGGATTTGAATGGGGCCGGTCGGTAGAGGGCGCCATAGACGGACATATACTGACGAGATTGGCGATATTATTGAATAAGGGCTAAATTAAAAGTACCTACCCAACCGACAAGCATGCATGATAAGAATGATGACGAAAGAGGTATTGAGGTTCCATAGTCTCTGCCTACCCCCATGGCAGACAGGCGTGAAGTTATGTATAAATGTTCTAGATTTTACCCTTGGCTAGCAAGCGTCAATACGTAGCCTTTCTTTCGCGTAAAAAATATACATTATTTTCTTCTGACAAATCGACAAATCTTCCATATTGCAAAATTGTCGAATGTCAATTTTATTCTAAAGCTACCGATTTTATTATTAGGCAGCTTTCACCACTCGACACTGGCAGTATAGTCGACAACACCGTTTTGGAGACTGGGTTGCCAAAGAAGAAAAAAAAAGGAAAAGGGGGTTGTTAAATTTTTGTTTTTTAATTGTAGTTTTTTTTTCGTTGAATGGCAATCGAGTCTCCAATATATAGTTTATTAAAATATATTAATGTTCCGTGCTTCGTGACATTTAAAATCTTATTATCAGTAATTGAAAAATTAAATGACTAATATCGATACGGTAATTTAATAGATATTATTGTATGCATTTTTGGTTAGTTAATCACCTGTCTGTGTTTGGTTAGTTAATTATTTGTAAATTAACTTAAAGAACTTATATTTTTTTTGCCAAATAAGTATCGCAATAATATTTGTGTTATTGTAGGAAAAACAATAAAATATTTGAATTGCATTGTAAAAAAATTGCATTTAACTGCACAGAGAAACCTACAATTTTAAATATAGTAGTTTCATACAAATATAAGTGTTAAAGTGGAAGCAACGAAGACAAATATAATTTAGGTACAGTTAGATTTTTTATGACCAACGTTTTGTATTCTACCCACCTGTCCGTCTGAGCGGCGTCATAATCTGTGGCGGTGGCGGGTTGTTCTACCTCAAAGGTTTCGCAGGCAGTCTGTTGTGTCCGCACCGTTGTCGAGGCAACATCTGTGCAGCGCGTGCCGTGCCTTCCCGCGAGTGTATCGACATAACAGTGCAGTGCTGTGAGTGCCAGTGCCGGAAATGTTACTATTGTGATACACCAATTGTTATAATGGCATTAAAAAAGGATTTCGACATAAACAAGAACATATTCAAAATAAAACTACCGAAAACTGTCAAGTTCCAACAGGCTTTCGACAAAATATTCAAAAAGAACAACTACACCAAAATAGTGCAAAGTTAGTTACACTAATTGTTGTATAGACTCGTCCGATTAAATGGCCGGTGAAGTTAGTGCAAATATTAGTAGAAGTAGTAAAGATAACACCGAGCCCGAGCCACCAGATCGCAACAAGTCGCCCAACTTTATAACAGACGAGACCGAGTTTATTGGAAAAGGAGATATAAGAACATCAACACCGGTCAACAAACATAGACGTAGTAGAAGTAAGAGTGGTACCAGGAAGACTCCAGTACCGCTTAGTTTTTCAGACGAACATTTTTATGAGGATTTAGAAGCGTATGTTAGAGAAATGTCCGCGGCTAGGCAAACCAGTGCTACCATGGAGGCAGGGCAGGAGCAGGACCTGTGGACTCAGCTCCAGCAGAAGGAGTCCGACCTGCTGCTGGCGGCAGAGCTCGGGAAGGCTCTCCTCGACAAGAACGAGGAGCTGAAGAAAGAACAGGAGCGCGTGACGGAAGAGTACTCCAAAAAACTAGAGGTGAGTCAATCAATTTCACTATTTGTTACCGATTCAAGCACGCGATGTGCACTAATATTTTTGCGGTCGTTCAACGCTTGCTACAATGGATTTTGAACTGTAATCCGATGTTTGTAAGGTTTAGTTATGTTATTGTTGCGTTCGTTCCATTTTTTAGAAAGACTGGCCAGTCTGCGGTTGTTGGAATTGTGCAATTTATACTCTTTGTTTATGTCCTTTCATTTGTAACGTTATTTTAGTTAGACGGTGGAACACTTTCATTAAATAAAGTGTTTATAATTAACATATAAATAATAATTTTCGTGTGCATGCTAGCCAAGATTTTGGGGTCACGACCGCGTTTGCAAAAAGTGAAGTTAAAGTATGAGAAACTAAAATGATCAATCATTTAGATGGACACGTATTAAAAGAGTTTTAACACAAATTACCATCAGAAGTCAGCTTGGCTGTAAGAAATGTTTATTAGACAGTAATTTTCGCAAGAATCTGACACATGATTTCGTAAGCTTAACATTGTACTTACGATATCAAAAAATGAATGTGCCAATCCGCGATGTACTTATTGTACTTAATTATTATCGGATTGTACTGATTATTTGCAGCAATAAGTAGGTAGGTATTGCCAAACGTCCACTTTACATAATTTCTTATTTCCATCATTCTTTTTACATTTAAGACGTACCTACTTACTTATAGATTGTTCTCACTTTTTATTTGCTGTCTCAAACTTCAGTCTGAAACAAGAAATCTAGTTTTTAATGAATAGTCTGTAAGAATTTTCCGGTTTCTAGTCCATAATACTGTTCGTATAAATAAATAAAAATTACTGAGGCAGGCAGGAATCACAGTTTAATAACGAATCTGGAATGATTCTTACAAGAACTTTATACATTCAAAAAAATAGGTTAGTCTAATGATCGTTTGAATCTTTGATGAGATCACGGTGCCTGCGACTATTAACTAAACAAAAGATACAACTGAACTTGGAATTTAATATATATGTATAAGTATCCAAGAATATAATGATAATAACAAATCATAAGTAACTATTAAGAATCCATCGATTATAATATTTTTTATTCAAATGGCGGAACAGTCACGATAATTTTGTTTTTATTATGATGTGATCACGTTTTCCTTGATCACGTCGATTTTCATACATCATGCGGAGTATACGAACGTACAACAGTCGTGATGGAATTTTGTATATTGTATGAAATTAGGGATGAGATAACAACTCGTTTATAAACGTATGACGCGGTTTCTTTTATTTGGGAAATCGGTTGTTGTTTATTTAGGTACCTATCTATTGAATGTTTTCGTGAGATGATGTATTTAACTCGTTGAGTACCGGTTTTGCAGACACAATTATAGAACAATAGGTTGCGGTCACCGGTGACCGCTTGGTGTTTGACAGTTTAAATCAAACTTCTTAGGTATTTATTTGAAACTGTCGTCCCGCCATTAGATTCGGCTGTACCGAAATATTAAGTTTTTTTTATTGATTTTCAATTCTTTAGGTAATGTCCATGTCAGACTTAAGATATTTGTTTTCTCTTGGTTTTGTTTTTTTTTTTCTATTTTAGTATGTTCTGTTATTTGTATGTTGCGTCAGGTATGTCTTTACATTATTCTCACATGTGTGTACAATATTGGAACACGTATCAGAGCAATGTAAAACAGACTTTTTTTAAAAGAGTAACGAATGGAGTTTCTTGCTCGTTCTTCTCCACTCGAATCGACATTTTGGAACGAGCGCCTAGCTTCACTGACGGACAGACTGACAGACTATTGTATATTTCATATTTGTTGCCGTTTCAAAAGTACCAAATTATGGTTTAATTGAAATAAATGCTTTTGAGTTTGAGTTTGAGAGTTTAGGAATACTGGCATAAAATTAGCTGATTTGCTTAAAAAGTAAACTATAGATACAATGATGAAAGTGTTAAAACAATTCAGTAGTTTTGAAGCGTAGCTATTCAATGCAAATAATCAATCAATCAAATCTATTCTTTTTATATTTCCAGTTGTAGCACATTGTCTGAAATGTCATGGTTGTTAGTAAACACACTGCCTATTTATATAATATAAGATTCTTTTTACCTCCAGTCCAGAGGCCCAATTACCTCCCCAGTTAGGGTTGCCACCCGTACTTTATAATAAAGTATTGTACGTTATTTAAGGTAATTGTACTCTATACTTTATAAGAATAATAAAGTACACAAAAATACTTTATTTTTGCAAACTTCATTTCTATTAAAGTCGTAAGTATTTTTCGGTAAACTTATCGATTCGATATCAATATTTATCGATTTATGTTGAATCGATAACTTGCCAGCGCCACTTGACAATTTCTAGTAAAGATGCATTTGTCTAGTATTTCAATGCAATTGTTTAAAGGTACTAATTTAATACAAACTGCAAAAAGCAATAAAATATATTTTTAAATATAATACTAAATAAGAATAATTTGTACTTTATTTTTGTACTGTGTACTTTTTTTTTCTTACCTATAATCGTCAGTGTACTTTAAATACCAAAGAAAAAGGTGGCAACCCTATCCCCAGTCTCCTCCACAATCCTCGAATTCCCAATTCCCAAAAGGCCGGTAACGTATTTGTAACGCCTCTGGTGTTTCGGGCGACGCCGATTGCTTACCATCAGGTCATTCATCCGCTAGTATACCGATTTATTCCATAAAAAAGAATCAAAACTAAAAGTGTACTAACATAGATATAAGTTATTTCTTCTAATAACCTATGGATGCTTCTGGTCCGAAATAAAGAGTATTTTATTTTATTTATTTTATTAAAACAGCCATCAACCGAAAACCTGAACATCATTAATTCTTTTAATAAATTAAGAAGCCCAAACAAAGAAGGTGTGTAGTGTGGTTTTGACTGATTACATCATCTAAAGAACAACTAGCAAATGTATTTCGGAAATACCAGCTTCATCACAGTGATCATCACACTGTTTATCACCGTTGTTTCTCTTATCACTAAAGTATTTGATATAATCGATATCGTACGGAGATGTACCGGTGCCCCAAGGTGAGTCTGTGATGCTGATAACAGAGATCAAAATACTTTATGTACTCTCACATACTTACATACATACATAACTTCATGCCTGTCTCTCATGGGCGTAGGCAGAGACTATAGAACGTCAATTGCTACGATTCTCACATACCTCTTTCGCTTCATCAACAGTCATCAATCTTTTTATGCATACTCGTCGGTTAAGGGTACTTTTAATTCGGCCCTTCTGTAATATATCAGAATCAGAATATTTATTTGTATAACATAAGTATATACATAATGGTGTTACAAGTCCATCTAGTTGATATATGTTCGTCTAGGGCGCCCTCTACTGACGGCCCCATTCATGTCCGCTATGTATCTTCATCTATTGAAATAATTCTTACCGAAACATGTGGTGACGGTGATGTAGAATACAACGATTATCACCTGCCCTGCTCTTTACATTGGTGTCGTAAGGACTGAGTAGTGAGCTAATCATTGGGCAGAAACCGCCCAGCAGCGCTCTCTGATAAACCTGAACCTGCAACTACGATCTTCAAGTTTCAACCTGCCTGTCTAGCGAAGAGATTATGGCAAAACATATATAGAAAATGAGATATTATACTTAAATGTAATTCTACCTTATACGTTTTCCTTCGACCAGTGTGAGGAGTGATAAAAAAAAATAGTACCGAAGTTATCGATTTCTATCCTCTGTCCTTGCTGTTCTATAAAATCATTACCAAGGCGTTACCTTCGGTATGACGTTAGATTAAACTTTATAACATTCATAAAAATAATATTAGATCATCATCGTAAACCACGCCTACGACTTTCTATACATACATAAACTTATGACTTTGTCCAGGTAACTAAAAACCACAGAACATTAGTATAACTACTCTACAATCCCTACAAACATATCTTGCTTTTATAAGTTAAACTAGCGACCCGCCCCGGCTTCGCACGGGTGCAATATGTATATACATACAAACCTTCCTTAAGAATCACTCTATCTATTAAAAAAAACCGCATCAAAATCCGTTGCGTAGTTTTAAAGATCTAAGCATACATACGGACATACAGCGAAAGCGACTTTGTTTTATACTATGTATTGATACCTCCAAAAATAGAGGATGACAGTTTTGCAATAAAAAGGCTCTTTATAGTTTTACATCACTGTACTCCCCAAAACCGCTACTAGCGCCATCTGCTCACATTTGTTACTTATAACTATAACTCATTCGTAATTCGCTTGATGTTTTTTAATCTGTGTTCGTTATTGTGCGAACTATACGGTATACATGGCCATAAGAACATGCCAATATAGTGTGAAACGATATCAGAACTTGCACAATATGGAATTTTATCTGGATCACCGCATTGCAGATAACTTGACATACAATAGACACATGTGTCTAAAACACACTTTACAAATATCGACTTTACTTCATTTAGCTTAAGCCTCCATTTCGTTTACGCGTTAATAATGCTATAATGTCAAGCGTTTTATAGCTCACGTCAGCAGCAAGACTGTCACGGGCTTACCTATAATGTTCCTGATTCCAAAGCCATCGCGATATTTGAAAACATACTTTATTAGTGTAATGTCAAAGTTTACTTTACCATGAAACGTAAACTATTTTATGACTCCTAAAATAGTACTAATTGTTCTGAAATCGACTTTAATTACAGCAGACTACAGTTTATATTTGTTTTAAAAGGGAATGTTACTTCCGCATATTTAGTTTTTGCACGCGGCACTGCTCTACTTAATGGAGTTTCAGTGACAAAATATACATAGAACATCAATAAATTGTTGTATTTAGATGAAGCTAAAAACTGGTCAATCCAAAAACTTCTGAAGGAGACTAAATTTTGATGTATCTTTCATAAAATTTCGGTCAATAACCCCAAATCGATACAGAGATTTTAGATTAAAGTCGATAACCAATTTCGGCCGACAATCTGTTCGTC